AGGGGAGGGCGCAGAGGGGACGCTGGGGAGGGGGACGCTGGGGAGGGGGACGCTGAGGAGGGGGTCCCGGAGGAGGACGGCGAGAAGGAGAACGCTGAGGGGGAAGCGGAGGAGGAGGACGACGACGCGGAGGCGCCCGAGGTACCCGAGCGCACGCCGCCGCCCTAGCCCCGCCCTCCGCTGGGCCTGACGTCATTACGTCGCGGCGCCTGCCGGCTCCGCCCCTCTCCGGCTTGCTATAAAGGCAGGCGCACGGGTGCTGGCGCTGGGAGGTGGTGTGCGGTCCAGCAGTTCTGTTTGGTTCTGGTGTTGATGGGCGCAGTGGGAGGGTGCCTTCGGAGTCTGCTAAGCCCGGCGTGACGTCACAGACCCACGTGCGATGCGGATGGACTGAGTCCTGCGTAAAGCGCTCTAACAAATTGATAAGCAACAAACACCATCCTAGTGGAGCGAGGGAAGTGTTTGTGCTGCCCTCCGCAGGCACCCTGCGGCGGCGCGCGCGCAGTTCCTCCCCGAGTGTGAAAGGGCCCCGAAAATGCGGCCCGTCACTTGTGACGGAAGGAACGCGTGGTCAAACGCTGAGACCTTTTTACAAATCTACGACAAGGGTTTTTTCCGTAGGATATCCAGTGTTCATCGCTACTGCACAGTCAGGCCTCCCAAGCACTAGGGCTGTCTTCGACAACTGACATATGTTTGTCTAGATGTCACTATCCTCAGTGGGGACACAGGGTGCTAGATAGCAATGTGGGCACTTTGCAGCAGGCATGAAAGCGGAGACATGCTACATAGGAGACGGCGAACCTCCGGGCCTCAGACGAGGTGCTAAATATAGCCTGTAATGAAATGTATGGAGGAAAGCACCAGCACCAGGTATGTATCATAAGCAGCTTTGTCAGGAACCAAAGGAAACTGAACCTCTTTTTCCAAGTGTACGTGAGAGCAGTGTGTTAATTAACTGAATCATCTCCCATGACAAAATCCCAAGACATGTGGTACCAGATTTTGTGAGGTTGGCACTCGGAAAAGAAGGGCAAGGGATTCCCCCCACCCACCCAAAAACTATATTCTCAATTTCTTGTAAGAGCTGTATGCTTTCATGAGAAAGATACCGCATTTATAGGGGAAAAAAAACTTCAGTTTTGGTAAGAATCCAAAATGAACTGATGCTTTTGACCAGATACAATTTTCAGAGGTGGTTATGATGATGGGTCAACCTTTCTAAATAGAGGTGTTAATGTGGTGGAGGTAGAAACCACATGAGGGTAGGGCTTGTGGCCCGAGGAAGCAGGCATTCCTCCTGCTGCTGTGGCAATGCCTGAAAACTTGGTATTCTTTGGCTGGCTGATGTGCCCAAATAGAACCCCAGCATGGAAAGCATATGCCTTCCTCCTCAGACCAGTACAAGAGACTGTTCCTAAAACAAAAGTGACAAGTTCCCAGGCAGTTATTTAGACCCGAGCTTTCCCTTTGTAGCCTATAGACATTTTCCATCTCTAACATTCAAGGTAAAATAAACCAGCTCAGTGGAAGCAGCCCCTGCTGCCACTTTGATGTGCTCCTCCAGGCCCACCCCTTGTACCTTTTAATTTAGCCGTGTAACAGGTACACAGAAGATGAAAGGAGAGTGGGCTGCAGCTCACATCTGTTGATTTTTGCATCTGGGTGAATGTCTGTGAAAACCTCCTCTGTGAGTCTTTTTGAAAGGTACTTGGGATAAACACTTTTCTTTGGAACTCTCCAAGCACATGGGTCTCCTTAATCCCTTTTCCCTGGTGACCTTTGGCCTGTGGAGTTGGAAAGATGAAAGACCCATCAGCTTGCAAGGTGACTCAGCAGATTCCTGGCTGTGTGGCACAGCCCTATTAGACCTGCCAGGGGAGCAAATGGAAAGTAGGTCAAAAAAACCTCAGTTGAAGAATGCTCATATCTCCCCTGGGGTAGAGCCTCTCCACTGCCTAGGTGAGATCTGGCTACTGACAGTAGGAACGGGAGGATGACAGGCTAGATTTGATAACAAATCCATTTTTTAAAAACCAGGAGAAAATATGCCAAAATTCTAGCAAACTTTACATATCATTTCCCCCATTTTTGCTAGTCCAGTGAACTTAAAATGGCATCTCATCTGTCTTGTTCGAATTTAACTGAGTGCTACTGTGGCTGAGCATTTCTTGCTATGTTTACTGGCCCCTAGGATCTGTGAACTGCCCACCTGTAGCACTTGCTTGTTTTCCTATTGGGTACTCTGAATTTTCTTTAAATAAAATCCCTTGCATCCCAAGATATGGAAATATCTTCTCCCTGCCTGTGTCCCCTTCATGAACTCTATCTGTTGGGGAAGATTGAGCATAAATCTTTAATTCTGAGTAGTCAAACACATCATTTTTATCCTTGGTGGCTTTGCTAATCATAAGGAAAGGATGGACTGTTCTATAGCTGGGCCAGTTGTCTACACAAAAACCTCACAACTGTTCCCTATGTCACAACTCACATCCCTATGTCACATTAGACACAAAAATAGTTACAGAGCAATCAAACACATACAGGTGGAAAGCAAAACTTTAAAACTTTTAGAAGACATTGAAAAATATCTTTATGACCTTAGAGCAGGAAAATGTCTTACACAATAATAAAAATTACAAACCATTAAAGAAAGGAATGATTTAAAGTTAAACACATTAAAATTTAAGCCTTCCGAAAGTAAAGGAACACAAATCAGATCAGTGGGGACTGGGAGAGAGGGGAATTTGTTGGAGTGACGGAACTGTTTCATCTCTTGATTGTAATGGTCGTTCTATAACTGTATGTGTTTTTCAAAACTCACAGAATTGTACACTACAAAGAATGAATTTTACTGTAGGAAAATTGTACCTTAGTAAAAAATACTTTTAAAAATTAGCCTTCTCTTTGACAAAAGACACATGATAGACTGGTGTCTTAGTCTGCTCATGCTGCTATGACCAAATGCCAAATGCTGGGTGGTTAAAAAACCAGACATTTATTTTTCACAATTCTGCAGTTTGGAAGTCCAAGGTCAAGATGCCACTGTTAACCTAAAACAATTAAAAAGCCAGTTATTTTACCAGCAAAATGGATTTATTCAAGAGCATCAAAGAATTATAATTTGGGATATACAACTATGTCCAACAAAGGAGAGGAAACTTTTTTATAGAGGAGAAGGGGCAGTTGGGAGGGGCTGCCGTAAACAAAGAGCCCATTGGAGAAAACTAGGAATTCAAAGTACAATGGCTTTTCATTCGCTAAGTTGTAAGAGTCTCTCATTGGCTAGCCTGTTGCTAGGCAAAAAGAAAATCTTTCTCCCTCCTGCTGGGTAGTATAGTGTCCCTGCTGTGATATGTTGGGATCCCTGTTGATGTTGAGTGATGTGTGTGTAAAAACTCTCCATTCTGGCATCCATTTTGGTGAGGTTTCCCTTTATTATATTTCACACCAGCAAATTCTTTCCTGTTGAGAGCTCTCTTCCTGGCTTATGGTGAGTGTCTTCTTCTAAGTGTATATTTGCACGTTGGAGAGAACCATCTTTCCCTCTTTCTCTTCTCTTTATAAGACTAATTCCATTTTAGGAGGTCACCCACATGACCTCATCTAATCCTCATAATCTCCCAAATGTCCATCTCCAAATTATCATTGCATTGGAGGTTAGGGCTTCAACATATGAATGTGGGGGGACACAATTCAGTCCATAGCAACTGGGAAAGATATTTAAAACAAATGTAACTAACAATGGATTTATTTCCAAAATAGACAAGAGTTCCTCAAAAAAACAGTAAAAGAATAGTAGTTCAAGGAAGAAACTCAATTGGTCAATAAACATATAAAAAAAGATGCTTAACCGCATTGGTAATCAAGGGAATGAATGATGATAGCATTTGAAGTCAATCAGTAAAAATTAAGTCTGATACCAGCAGAGTGTAGGGAGTCACGTGACTAACACAGCTGAAGGTCTGTAACCCCTTAACCTGGCATTTTTACCTCTCCACCTGAAGGTCCCCAAGGAGACAGGAAAGGGGTATTCAAGGCAGCACTGATTTTCATGGTTCCACAAAGAGACTGCTAGATGGCTGAGGTGTGGTCCATGAGTTGTGATGGAATATTATGGGCAGTTTCAATGAATGAACCACACCCGCCACATCAACAGGGCAGATTTCTGAAACAAGCTGTGTAAAAAAGCAGGTTACAGAACAGAGACCATTTTTGCAAAGTTTAAAAATACTATCGATACATATATTCCTTTTGAACACCTTCACTTGTGAAAATACCAAAATAAGAGTGGAAATTATATTGAGGGGGACAGAGGAGGAAAGTAGTGAAAGGTACCATAACATCTATTTCCTTAAAAGACGAACAGACTGGAAACAAACAGGGCAAAGTATCAACATCTAGTTAACCTGGCCAGT